ACATACATACATACATACGTACATACATACATACATACATACATACATACATACATACATACATACATACATACATACATACATACATACATACATACATACATACATACATACATACATACGTACATACATATATATGTATATATACATAATACACACGTCATACATGTTGGATTGATCGATAGATAGATATATACAGCGGTAAAAGAAACTTTCCACTTTGGAAAAATTCCTGTATCGGGCTTATTATTCCACCTATAAAAAATAAAAACAAGAACTGGCACAAACGTTACACTTCAAAGTATTTCCAGAAGTGTATCACCGTTTGTTTTATGTTTTTAGTTCATATGGTGACACAGTATTTACTACAAACTGTTACAACTTGATTTTCAAAATTTCAAGTCATTAACAGCTATGGCCGCTCCTTGTAGTGATGCAAGCTTGGTATCTTCTGCGCGTTGATCAGGTCAGTTTTCGTGTTGATCGTTGTGGCTGTTCAGTCCACTCTTGAACCAATGCTTGTCCAAGTCATTGTACAGTGTTGATTCGGCCCAACTGTTCCCATAGGTGCTCCTGTCGATAAATCATGCCTTCACTGGCAATGTGTGGGCGACGTTGTCCTTCTGGAATGTGTGCTAAGGTTAAAGTCGCCCGAGACATGGTCACTCAAAATTGACCTTAAAAATGCTTGGCGAATCTGTGTGAAATCAAAAATATACATTACTCTCTCTCTCTCTCTCTCTCTCTCTCTCTCTCTCTCTCTCTCTCTCTCTCTCTCTCTCCTTTCTCTGTCTCTCTGTACCCCCCTTCTCTCTGCCTCTCTCTTTGGCCACTTGCAATCTGCCCTACAGTTATACCGCCATCTTCACACTGTCCGCTGACACGGTTATCTCAAATGTTCAGGTTACTCAACACTAATGGTTCTATATTGGGACTCTACTTTGGTGTAGATTGAAAATATATTTACACCGAATTTTAAATATTGTAACATTTTAAGATCTATCTACTGACCCGAGCCCAACCGTACAGTGAACTATTGCGAATAGAACTGACTTGTGTTTCGCGCTCTCATATGACATTATGCTGTTGCGAGCGCCGTAAAACCTCTACTAAAACAAATGAAGACTCTACTTTTCCTTTGAACGTGTTCATCTGGGAGGTCCGCATTAACGCAATCCAAAGGCAGTGCACAACAGTCGACAGGGGATATAAACACATTAAGAATCTGAAGCCCTCCAAACGCGTCCACGTTTGATTGATTTTTCAAGTGCGACTTGAGAGATGGAGGGTGAGTGGACACGTGGAGGAACCACTTGCATGTCCTGTTTCTCAACTTACTTAACTTACTTTTACTTTTTTCTTCCGCTTGTACCGGTGGATATCGCGGGTAGACACAGGCGTCTGTTTCTCAACTGATCGCTTTTAAGCACAAGAAGGCTATCCCGATAAATGCTGTTTTGAGAGAATCGAAGGTAAAGTTTTTGCCCTTTGTTCAGTTTCTTTAAAAGACAAGGAGAGTTTTCTCTATAACCAAACAAATATACACACCAATGAAACCAAACTTCTCCCATATGTAGGGCAATGCCCACTTTTGGTGTAGGTCAAGATTTCTGGAAACCCCTGAAATCTGGGTTAGCCCGCTTGTCCTTAAAAGCGACCAACTGTCCCTCTGTTGTTTCTGTATCTATCTTGCCCCCCCCCCCAAAAAAAAAAAATAAAAAAAATAAAATAAAAATAAAAACAGTAAATAATATATCCACCTTCACCAAGACCTCAGCCAACTTTATCCAGTTCAAATTTTTCTCTTAACTCCTCTTTTTCGCTTATTGGTTGATCCTCCCTGTCTTTCGTTCTCTCTGTTGTTTCGATCTGTCCGTTTTTTCTTCTTCCCTTTCACGCCAGGCGGCTGTTGTGTCTATGTGTCCCCCCCCCCCAAAAAAAAATACCCCACAAAAAAACAAAGCAAGAGACATCATAGGTTTTTTTAAAAGGCGTCTAGTGTTTCTCTCCTGCTCCGCGCAGTGCGCGCGCGCGCGCGCACATACATACATACATACATACATACATACATACAT